TTTTTTTTTTTTTAAAAAAGATCTCGTCCTATTAAATTAAACTTATTTATAAACATAAAATATGTAAGCAAACTAAATAAGCTATAAAAGTTAGCTGATATCTTACTATGTTTTGTGTAAAATATATTTATGTGATTTAAATCAGATGATCATCAAAACAAATGGGATAGCTACATTACCTGTTTTAAGTTGGGCCCTCCCAAAGTCCAATTTTTGCAGTCATCAAAACGTTAACGAAAAACCCAAACTCATAGCCCAAGGATCCAAACGAATTTATTCTGCAAAATGAATTTTCAAATGTCAAAAGGACAAAAAAAAGGGGCATTCCGAGAATCGAACTCGGGACCTCTCGCACCCAAAGCGAGAATCATACCACTAGACCAAATGCCCAGTTGATACAATTAATTTATTTTGATTTATTCTAATAGGTTTTTAACACCTCAAAGGTACTTTCCTCTCCTTTTAGTCGACCCTCAATTACGAAGGAGATCATGAGGGCTTATCCAGGGCTACTTTCTTGTACGCAAACGGACGAACAAAATAATGAATCCACTTGCCTTTCGATCGAAACCGAATCCGGTAAAGTAGAAGCCAAATCTAAGGGCCATATCGTTGTCTGGAAGAGTCATTCATGCGGATTCTCTATAGCTGCCAGGCTTGAAGATGCTCGACGTTGCCAGTAGAGGTTGAAATATGCTCTTAGCTACAAGGAGAGGAGAGGAAAGAGGTAATTGAGAACCAAAAGTGAAAAGATGTTCAGTCCCTTCTTGACCTTGTCACCTTATATGTTGTTTTAAAGTACACTAGTCCTGTATATTTATAAGTTTATACACAGGAATTAAGCAAAAATGCCTCACGTTTTAATAGGACATTAAACTTGTTGTCTATAAACTTGGATAATAATTTTGTCATTTCACAATTTGTTATTCCATCTAATCTTTAAATATAAAGATTGCACTAATTTGGAGCCAAAACATCACTGTGTCTTATACTAAAATGTAGTGGCCGTCAACATTAACAATCAGTAATGCTCCACTATTCACGGTGGTCAACATTAATATGTGTCCACTATAAGTAGGAAATCATTATTCCATTAACAATCCTAGCAATTATGGTAGGAGTGTTGAGAAGATGTAATGCCGACTCCAACGCCCGCCCGGATGTACTCACATGTGCAAATTGTACATGTGAAATTTGAAGTTCTTTTCATGCGCCTTTAACTATAATAATGCTATTTCCACACTATAATACACACCGTACTCTAGGCCAAAATATGCAAATTGAATCGAAAGCTTTTGGGGAATTGTTTTCATAAGTAAAATGGAGAAAGTGGCCCTAAGACAATTAAAATGGCTCGACTCAGGTCAGCTCGTTAAGGCTCGAGTTCGGTTCGAGCTCGAGACCTTAACGAGCTGAGCTCAAGCTCATTTAAAATTCGTTTGGTTAAGCTCGGCTCGATAAGGCTTAATTTTTTTTTTTAACGTAATTTTTTATAATTCGACTCGTCAAAGCTTGTTATTGACTCGTTAATAGTGATAAACTAGTCGGGCTCGAGAACGATTTCTGAATAGTTTATTTAACGATCCAAACTCAGCTCGACTCGTTAAGCGCTCGAGCTCGAGTTCAGTTCGATACCAGAGAAATGACAAATTTTGGGTGAAATAAAAAATTTTAAAAATAGAAGATCTTAATGATACCCCATTACAAGTGCATTTATTAGAAAATCTTATCACGTGAACATATTGACCAATTAGGTGAGAGCATCGAGGCCATTGCTTGGGTAACAATGCCTTCTAATTTGGCTTTATTATTCTTGCATGATGACGCGCTATTTGTTGAAATTTATTTATACCGGTCAAAAAAAATTCTCTCTTTCCATTCCAACTGTTCAACAACATAACTCCAAACAGAACAATTTTTGGACTCACTCAGTCAGTAGCAAATATCAGAATTATGTTCAGCGCTGGATTCAGGTCAGTCATCCCTTTTTTTTTTTTTCTAAGTTAGTTAAATAAAAAAGCTTTAAAATTTCTGATTTTTCAATGATTTTTGTGTTCATCCTTGAGATACCCAGATAAAGATGATGTTAAAGATCGAATCTTTATATGTTTTAACATCAAACGGTTGACCTTTTTTTTCCGAACTAAGATCTGCCATTTGGTTTTTGAAAAAAATACTTCAGAAAATGTCTCAGCCCAAGAGCTTTGCTGACATCAGCCTCCCCAAGACGCTATTCTTCCCACACAGAGAGGTAAATAATAATAATTAATAAGTTCTTGATTCTAATCCCATGAAATTCCCTGTTTTTTTGGGTCTAATTTGATCTGTTTTTGGCCTTCTCTAGGAAATTAGAAGGCAAGGTAGCCCTAATCACCGGCGCTGCCAGCGGAATCGGCCGGGAAACCGCTGCCAAATTCATCAACCACGGCGCGAAAGTCGTTCTTGCCGACATCCAGTCCGGGCCGGGCCACGAGGCAGCCCGTTTGCTCGGGCCCAACGCCTCCTTCATCCAATGCGATGTCACCAACGAGCCTGATGTCTCCCGAGCCGTCGATTTCTCCGTGTCGACGCACGGCCAGCTGGACATCATGTACAACAACGCGGGGGTTGCGTGCCGGACCCCGCCGAGCATAACCGAGCTCGACCTCGACTCGTTTGATCGGGTCATGTCGATCAACGTTCGGGGGGTCTTGGCCGGGGTCAAACACGCGGCCCGGGTCATGATCCCGCGCGGGCGTGGCGTGATCCTCTGCACAGGCAGCGTAACGGGCGTAATCGGTGGGCTCGCGCAGCACGCGTACTCGGTTTCGAAAAGTGGGGTGATCGGGATCGTGCGGTCCGCGGCGGCCGAGCTTTCGGGGCACGGGATTCGAGTCAACTGCATTTCGCCCATGGCGATCCCGACTGATTTCGCAATGGACGAACTTATGGGGTATTATCCGGGCGTGGATCGGGAGAGGCTGGTGCGTATGGTCCGGGAGTTGAGCTCGTTGAAAGGGGAGTATTGTGAGGTGGGTGACGTGGCCAATGCGGCAACTTACCTGGCTTCGGACGATGCCAAGTTCGTGAGCGGGCATAATCTTGTGGTGGATGGAGGGTTCACGTCGTTTAAGAGGTTGCAGCTGCCCGGACCGGACAAGCTCGACTAGTGAACGTGCTTGCGAAGAAAACGAGATCTTTTAAAATACTTAATCAGATGGAATATTATAGAGGTAGTGAAAAAATAGATGGTTGTACAATTTCGTGTGTTTGTGGAGAATTGATTAGGACAACCATTGAACAAAGCTAAACCACTGTGCTTTGAGTTCAAAATTATAAATGACAGTTCCCAAACTAAACTATTATGATAAAAGCGTGTGCGAATTGCACGGTCTGATAAAGTTCACGAACCGAAACCGGATTCTGTTTTTCGGACAACTTGAAAAGGTCCTACGCAGATGAACTGAACTGCTGGTTCATAAGCCAGAGAACGGTTTCTTGGTTTCAATCCCGAGTATCGACACATAATCGAACTCGTGTTGGGCATGAATAGACAGGTACCTTTTTTCGGTCGTCCAAGCGCATTGCATTTCGATATCTCATAAATCAAAAGCAAGATTTAGTCACGCATGCTGGTGTAATTTGACTTTGTTGGCTCATTCTCAGTTTTCGCAGTATATCTTATGTCACTTGTTACTGAAAGTGGTAATCTAATGTGCCATTCGAATGTTTAATGAATCACAATGTCTTCAGATAGGTAGATTTCACCCTGTTGGAATATCATTTCAGAGTTGTCCCACATTGATTTTATAGGAAAAATGAGTCTAGTATATAAGTCTACTGACCTACTCCTCTCATCACCAATTGTTTTTGGGATGAAACCTCGTTAAAGTACATCTACACTCACCCTCTTATGGTGCGTTTCATCTGGTGGGATGCACTCTCTTCTCCCAGTTCTAATATGGTATCACAGCGGGTCAGTCCTAGGACCTGTAATGACTCTCTCTACCCGGGCGTGTTGACATATCACTTGTGAGTTGTCTCACATTGATTCTCACTCTCTTCCCCCAGTTCTAATATGGTATCACAACAGACCACATTGATTCTCACTCTCTTCCCTCAGTTCTAAACTCTCTTCCCTCAGTTCTAATATGGTATCACAGCGGGTCAGTCGTAGGACCTGCAATGACTCTCTACCCGACCTGCTTTGGGCTTGGGCTTATCTCTCTACCTGGCATGCTATATGGGTTTGGGCTTCCGAAGGACTCACAAGTAAGGGGGCGTGTTGGCATATCATTTGTGAGTTGTCCCACATTGATTCTCACTCTCTTCCCCCAGTTCTAATATGGTATCACAGCAGACCACATTGATTCTCACTCTCTTCCCCCAGTTCTAATATGGTATCACAACGGGTCAGTCCTAGGACCTGCAATGACTCTCTACCCGACCTGCTCTGGGCTTGGGCTTATCTATCTATCTGGCATGCTATATGGGTTTGGGCTTCCAAAGACTCACAAGTAAGGGCGTGTTGGAATATCACTTGTGAATTGTCTCACATTGATTCTCACTCTCTTCCCCCAATTCTAATATGGTATCACAGGGAACCAGTCCTAGGACCTGCAATGACTCTCTCTACCCGACATACTCTGAGTTTGGGCTTATCTCTCTACCTGGCATGCTATATGAGCTTGGGCTTCTGAAGGACTCACAAGTGAGGGGCGTGTTGGAATATCACTTGTGAGTTGTCCCACATTGATTCAATAAGGAAAATGAGCCTAATATATAAGCCTAGTGAGCTACTTCTCCTATCAATAATTAATTTTGGGATGGAACCTCACTAAGATGCATCTAGGCACTCTCTTATGGTGCACTTCATCTAGTGGGACCGCAAACTCTTTCCCCGGTTCTAATACAACCTACTTGCAAATGCAGTACACCCTACTTGCAAGTGCAGTGAGTTTTCACCGGTTCTAATACACCCTACTTGCAAATGCAGTACACCCTACTTGCAAGTACAGTGAGTTTTCACCGTTTGATTTGTTAATCCAACAATGAAAAACTTGGTGACTGCACTACAATCAATCACGAGACTCGCGACTCACCAATAGGGCTTTGCATGACGCAAATATTTAGGTGTGCCAAGGTGTGCTAGGGCCTTTTGTGAAATACACCTCTCCCAAAAGCGCGTGAGGTAAGAAGGTAAGGCATTTTTTTTAAATGGGACATGTGTCTCATTTCTATTGGGCAATAAAATTCATATATTATATAAATTAAATTATCATTCATATTTTGTATAAAAAAATAAAAATAAAAATACCAAAATTCGTAATTGTTCATTCTCTACAAATAGAGACCACATTTGATATTTTTTGGAATACAATTAATTTATCATTTTTTACTATTAATTTGTCTTATTGGAAGATTATGACATCAATCTATAATTAGATGAATATGTTACATAGTAAGATGAACATGTTATAGAGTAAGATGAATATGTCTGTTGATATCATTTTCTGTAAGCCAGGTTAAGCGGCACTAATCCGTTGATCGAGAC